CGTCTAGGCGGCACAAGTGGCCGCAGTTTTCGAGCATGAAGTTCTAGTTTGTGGCTTCGTTAGATCTCTTTGCTAGTGGATGTGGATCGTTTGAGGTCTCGAGTGCCTTGGTGTTAAGTCTATTATGTGTAGGGAGGTCCTAGTTTATTTGTTTATTAGGTGTGTGTTTTTTCTGTATTTCGTTTTGTCAATCCCGCTTGTCTGATTTATCTCTTTTATGGAGTTTTCTTCCCCTTTTTGGGATTTCGCTTTGGGTTTGCGGTTGCCTACTTATTGGAGTTGTACCTCTTGTATTTCTCTGGAATTTCAAGAGGTAGGTCCAATTATCAAGTTCTTAGTGTCAGTTGACATCTTTTGTGTAATCATTTTGAGTTTTCTAATTAAAAATTTATTTGCAGTTGAAAAAAATAATATAGAATAATTATAATACAACTTTAAAAAAAATGTCTCCATCATCATAACAATAATAATAATAATAATAATAATAATAATAATAATAATAATAATAATAATAATAATAATAATAATAATAATAATAACACCACAAAAAAACAATAAAGAAAAGAGTAATAAAATTCATGCACCCCACTACTTCTCCCCTTTCAGCAGCCTCCCACCACCACCTCTGACGCCTTCCCAAGGTCGACGCTGCCGCCCCGGTGATCTCCAATCGTTCTCGTGCAAGACGACGACCAAATCCACAAAAGCCCGCAGCACGTTCCTGTGAGTCTTTTCGTTGTTCAGATCCAAATAACGAAACAGAAGCTCCTCCAGAAAATCCCAATCCACTTTCTCGCCGCCGCCCAGGCGCACCTCCACCATCTCCGCCATCGACCGCCGGAATTCCCTGTACGGACACGGAGAATACTTCAGGAGCGCGATGAAATCGTCTGCCTCGATCTTCTCTTTTCCCATCTCTGCCTCTAAATTTTTTCCGGAGAAGTTCTTCGGCGGCGGAGCCAAGTTTTTTCTCGCCTCCGACGATTTCTCTAGAATTTCAAGGCGGTTGGACCAATTATCTGGTTCCTGGTGTCAGTTGACATCCCCTCTGTACTCATATTGAGTTTTCTAGTTATATATTTATTTGCCATTAGAAATAAAAAATATAGGATAATATTAATACAACTTTAGAAAAAGGATGTCTCCATCATCATAACAATAATAATAATAATAATAATAATAATAATAATAATAATAATAATAATAATAATAATAATAACAATACCACGAAAAAATAGTAAAGAAAAGAAATAAAATTCATGCACCCACTACTTCTACCCTTTCAGCAGCCTCCCACCACCACCTCCGACGCCTTCCCAAGGCCGACGCTGCCGCTCCGGTGATCTCCAATCGTTCTTTTGCAAGACGACGAACAAATCCACAAAAGCGCGCAGCACGTCTTTTCGTTGTTCAGATCCAAATAACGAAACAGAAGCTCCTCAAGAAAATCCCAATCCACTCTCTTGCTGCCGCCCAGGCGCACCTCAACCACCTCTGCCATCAACCGCCAGAATTCCCTGTATGGACTTGGAGAATACTTTAGGGACTCGATGAAATCATCTGCCTCGATCTCCTCTTTTCGTCGGCTATCATCAGCTTCAGGTCAGACAAGATCCTCTTATTTTTTGTCTCTTCATATACCATTTCGGCCCCAATCGAGTATACTCCTTGATAACTTTCTCTCAGCTCTTCTTGTTGTTCTTTTCTGAGAGCTCAGATTTGGGATCTTTGGGCTTCTTTCATTAGGTCCCAGGCTTGTTTGACTTCTTTCCCGTTTGAGGTCTTACCTCTAGGTACCTCGAAAGTCGGCGAGGCATAAACTCCTCAGTCATAATGTGTTGTTGAGCCCAGGACTGGAACTCTTGGTAGGTGGTCGGCTTATTTGGTAAGTGGTCTGCTTATTCTGGCTTAGTGACCATCTGAACATCGAGTTGGATTTCAGACTCGAGTAAGCCGATGCCAACAATGTCTCCTAGTGACGTGACTCCATATTCTAAACTCGCTCGTTGATTTGAGCAACATAATTTTTGAGGTTCTCCTCGGCCCCCTAGACTATGCTCGTGATTGAATCCTTCAGAATCATGCATACCTGGGACTGGATGAAATGAGATAAGAATGCCGACCACAACTGCTGCCAGGTCTAAATTGAGTGGGGGTACAATGAATGGTACAACCTATGAGGTTTGGCTTTAGGATCAGCGAGAATATTCTTCATATAATGGTATCCCCGACCCAATGCAAATCCATCCATGATATGTATAGCCCTATATGTGAGTCTGGGTTCGAGGTGTCGTCATAAAGTCCAATCTAGTTTATTTTGATTTTTTTTTGACAATAGGTTGCGCACGATGTTGGACAATAGCGATGAGGCCGTGTCCATGACACCGTTGGACGAAAATAGCCAGGATGGCGAAGGTGCCCTTCCCTCATATTTTTTTCGAGCTTCGAGCATGACAATTTTCTTCCTGAGGTTCGCGACCTTGTCATAGTCGCTTTTGGCTAACCGATCTCTTAGGATTTTTTTGTCAGAGGGTCCTACTCGGCCTCCTATTCCCAGGTCAGGTAAAAACCAACGGGTTGGTGGATCTCTCCTTGTGCTTTATCACTGATCATCTCTCTCATATATTTTCCATCCGAGTCTGGTTTATGGTTTTCTCCTTTCGAATTTTTGCCCACATCGTACGGAGGTTAGGTGATGGCCTTAAACTGGATGTCCTTTACCCCTATCTCTGGTGGCGGCATACATGTCTTTTTTTAACTATGTTTTGAGCATGTCGAACACCGAGGACGGCGCGTGAGATGCTGACAACATGACTTGCATCAGTAGGCTCGCCATAACCTTTAAAAACTATGGGTTTTGGAACATCGGCGTGAAGTTCACTGCGGGAGACTTTGTATATGGTTGCTCAGTCATTTGCGGTCGAGACACCATTTCTTGGTTCGATGATGACATCTCCGTCGGTTGTTTTAGAAGCTTTGTTGTTGTTGGTAGAAGCAGTATTTTTCTTTAAGTCGAAAAGTAAACCTCAAAATTGTTTGTGATTGTTAACCACAAGGTCGGAGGTTCGATGCCTCCTTTTAGTGCCAAACTATTGATACTGGGATTTTATCAATTAGAAGCATCGAATTAGTGCTGGTAACACGATGATTAAACAATTTAAATTTGGCATAATATGATGAATTTGCGTAAAATCAAGTAATGATGAAGTCGGATAATTTCGCAATTGAGGTTGGATATTCTCCTTTAAGGTTGTATTTAATGAAGGAATATATGTCTTTTTACAGAGAATCTTTCTCACCCCTTTTATAATGGATTCTTAGGACTGTGTATAGTAAGGGTGGCCCGATTACTGTTCATCGGGCAGTACAATTGGGCATTAAATAAAAATTATGTGCATTAAATGTTGCACATGACCCTAAGAAGCTTTTGCACATAGGCTTGTAGACCTTTTGTGGCATGTCCCGTCTTTAATGTTACAGGTGCAAGTTATTATTTTTACGGTTTCTGTTGCCTCAGTGTGATCGATTCATGTTCTTAAGCATCAATCCCTCTCATTTTGCCAAGTCATATGCTCGACTTTGTTTCCGAATAACTTCTTTATCGGGTCTACACTTTCAATTATCCAACTAGGGTGTCTCGTCTGCTTTTTGCTCGGCCCCCTTTGTTTTTGTTTCCATTTTTGGGGTTCGTTTTTACTTGTCTTACCCGACCTAAGTACTTGACTCGGTAATTTCTTTACTTAGCGAGTATTTAATCTTGAATCTGTCCAGCTTAACAAATTTATTGAATTTTCCAACTTCTATATTTGTGGCGTTGTAATGATCTTATAAAGAATCTCACCATTGCTGAAATTGAGACTTTGTTGCGAAGGCGTGGCACAAGTGTTCGAGAATATTCTTCTATTCCTTATTAGACAGAGATAACCTCCAGACCACTTCAAACCGCTTTATATTGGATGAGCTAAATTACGATCGAAGGCCCTACTTGTGGAGCATGAATCACTTCTTCAGAGAATAAGTAACGAACATAAAAGAGTCTAATAAAAAATTATGTCCGCTATGAATTAATACTCTCCAATTAAATACAACTCGTGTCATGACTTACGCACCAATGCTAAATTATTGAAGTAAACTTAATAATCCAAGAACAATCTTCT